AGTGCGCAAAATGCTCAGGGGGTTAAATAGTGAAAAAAAAAAAGAAAAAACTAAAACAAAGGGAAACCGCTGGCATTCCGTAGCAAGATCGAAAAAAGAAATCGCGTTGCGGGAGGACGTGTTCTTCGCGAAAAGGTGCAGAGGAGAGGGAGAGAGGAAGGGATTTGGGTAAAAAACGAGGCGACGCCAAAAACGCGCGTAAAAGCGTCCTGCTTGGACTGTCCCACGTCATTGTACATACACCGAAGAACCGCCGCGACCGGACGAGAAACGAGAAGAAAGAGGAAGTGGAGAAGGAAGCATCGTAATTTTCCAGCCGCGCCACCGACGCGACGCCGCTGTGTAGTAACAATGAACGAGAGATATTCCGCGAACACAATGGCAAAGCGCCACGGTGAAATCATCGCGACTGCCGACGAAAATCCCATAAATTCAGGAACATTCGACTCGCTCTCGCTCGTTTCCCGCTCTAAATTCCCAACCGCCGCAACAAACTTCTTTTTCTATTCTACCGCCAGCAAATAAGTCCGAGCTTTCTCCACATCGATTGCTCGTTTGTTTTCTATTCGATCAAAAAATCGTGTACGCATTCGTGTATGCTTTCATACACGATGCGTTGCACCGATGAGAAATTTCTACTGGCGCTGCGCGTTTTGCTAAGTGAAACTAGCGTTGCAAGTAAACGCGCGTTCTCCAGAACAGAGAAACTCTGCTTCGATTGCCAAGATGATCGATAAGAAGATGGATATCCAGATGGATATGCAAGATCAATTAACTAGGAATTAATTAGCTTTTAGCGATTTTTACTTGAAACCTCTCTCCCAACACCGACAAACACTTTACACTACCGATAGAATATTGATGTCGCGATGCTACTATTACACAGATCCATTTTTTTTTTTTTTTCCTTTTTTTACTGGAAATATTTGTTTCGAAACAACGAAACAGGATACAAAAAAAAATTTCTGATTTTTGTTACATTTTATTAAAAAAATAAAGTTTCGACGCCCCGTGTATTTCCGCATATCGACGGAAACGAAAAATTACTTAAATTTCTCACATCGCGTTATAATCCGAGCTATTGGAGGGTGGCTCTCGCTCACGGAGTATATCCATCAAAAGATAGAAATTCGCGGAGGATAGAAAATCGAGCGCGAACGCATCGACCTCGCATCGATGGTATTGAGAAGCTATCGTAAGAGATTTACGAATCCGTGGAACATCTGTCGTGACGATGTTGCCGTTCACCGTGCTTCGATTGCTTCGCAAACGTATCGAGATCACGATAGAGAAGTGCGATTGCCCGATGGAGGTTACGAGATTGCCTACGAAATACCTTCCACGTGTTCTGTTTCGTCTTCTAACGATCGCGTTATGGACGTCCAAGGATCTATAATCTACGTCGTCGCCGTTTCCTTCGAATCTTATCGACATCGACCTGTTTCAGACGAACCAACTTTGGAGCGTAGCACGCTTTACTTTCTTGGTAGTCGAAGGCTTTTTAACCCATTAACAGCCGATCGAATATGCCTTGCTTATAGCATCGGAGCTGCACTCGTTTCAATATTACATTCCGTTGTTACGTACTCTAGTAACTTACTGAAAGACTCTCGTCACTCATTCTGGGAAACATTTATGTATACATATATGTATATATTGCGCGTATTATGCAAAACTTTTTGAAAGTCCATTGTGCCTGTTGGTAAAATCTGAGAATATATATACAGGATGTTTTGTAACTTTCGTAACACTTCGGGAGCTGATTGTATTCTTTTAAAAATAATGAAAAAAAGTCAGATAAATATATGTCCTATCTGTCTTCGCTTATGAGACATAATAAAAACTTTCTGTTTTAATTACTTTTTTCTGTTTTAATTACTTTTAACTACTTTTACAATATACTAATAATATGTAATATTCGCTCCATTATCACTTCAAACACGATTTTATACGACATGCATTACGATTATTAGTAAGAACTGAACTGATTTAGAGAGTATTGCGAAATTTGCTGAATCTTCAAATAGTCACATGAAAAAAAATCTATTGTATACGCAACATCAATTGAACATGCTGAAATACTACGAAATAGAATAGAGCACGGCTTCCGACAAATTCGAGAAACACCAGGAATGATAGAGAGAATAACCAGATGAATGACAAGATGCGTGCAGGCTTGTCTTCAAATGCAAGGCGATCAATTCGAGCATCTTTTGTAAAAGTAATTAAAACAGATAATTCATTATATCTCATAAACAAAGACAGATAGATATATATATATATATATATGACATTTTTCATTATTTTTAGGCGTACTATCAACTCCCGAAGTGGGTCCCCCAAGTTACGAAACACCCTGTATGTATACAAGTTACAAAACGCCGGTCTGTTCTAAATTTTTTCCATTACCTGTTATTTCTCGTGTAATAAGAAAATACGATAAGAATTCGATAGAATTTAAACAAACTAATTCAATCGACAGAAGTTCAGTTCGTCGATTGTTTAAATACTAAAATTCCAACTTCAACAAACGGAGTAACGGAGAAATCGGAATAAAGTTGCGAAGATCGCGTTATTCGTTTGGTCCCTTTAACGCGTCATTTTCTCTTTGGTCCCTTCAATTTCATTTCCTTTGCGCACCTATCCCTTCCGCGTTATACTCGCCGCGAATTTGCGATACTCGCTGATTTCGTAAACGGGATCCGATCGTTATCAGAGGCAAAAGTAAACAAGGAGGCTTCTCGTATCGAGTTCCCCGTACCGAGATGAGCACGTTCGAATGCAAAAAGTGTTGGTAAACATGCTCGATATCGGAATGTAAATTTCGAGGACGGCTACGACGGTAACAAAGTAACGCCATTGCAAAATATCGGCTGCGTTCTACCTTCGTTTCGGACAACGTAACCTCCGAATTTGCTCGAATCGACGTGACACGACACGGTAGAACAGAAATAATTCTGAGGATTCTGGAATCGGTGATTTTTGGAGTGTGACAGAAACTGGAAGTTACAAATTATATCGCAAACAAAGAAATGACACTCTACCTCGATAAAGAAGCAATTAAACAACACGAATATGTTAAGATGCTGCCGTCGAACTTGATTCGGCACGTCAGTTAAATTTGGGTTAAATTTCACGCGGTTCGCGAGACAGTAACGTACGAAAATTCACCAAGCAAAAGCCACTGAGAAACGCAAATACATGTGTGTATCGTTGGGGTAACGGTATACACACGTACATACGTCGCAGACCGGAGAACGGATCTCCCCTTAAACTCCTACACATACACACCGAACATAAGTTTTCCCAATTAACAGGACAGTTTTTTCCCTCGCGATATACGTGTGCCGTTGAATTGCGCAGTAGCGTCGCGTGTGGGCGACCAACTGTAACGGTAGCTAGAGAACGATCGACCGGCATTTCAAACCGTGTGACCGCAAGTGGAAATGGATCTCGCGAGACTCGAGAGAAACTGAAAACGTTCTGCGTCGACCGTGCGTCGTCGACTTAACCGTACACCGGCGAAAAACCGTGCGTACGTACTATCGTATCGACTAAACGGGGCCAGAATCAACAGGGTATGATTCGGAAATGGTATGTATGTATGTGTACGTCAGGTGTTTGGCAAATGGAGCTAATTTCACGGCTTATTCGAAAGAAACAGACGTCGAGGCAGGATGGTGGCAGAAGAATGTTCTAAGAGGCTACGAGATTATTGGAAAGCGTATAAAATGTGTCTGTAAAACACTCACCGGTGCTACGCGACGTGCGAGCTGTGTCAACTGCGCAGTTGACGAGCTAAAAGGCTGTGTTCAGGGACGTGATGCTCGGTACCGGTGCCCGAACGGTACAACCGGTAATATTAAACGACCGACGCGACGCCTATCGGCGCTTTGGCGAAATTTGTGGCATTGACTTTCAAATTACGCTCCTACGCAATTGAATTTACGCGCCCATTTTTTTTTTTTTTTTTTTTGGACACGACCGTTTGAACGCGATCGTTGCGATCGAAACGAACGACTTTGCTGCTAAAGCTATTTGCGAACGGGGATGCGATCGTTCTTTTCATTCCATAATTACTTGTCGTTTCGAACGTGTTTAATTAAGCACAGCATTTCATAGATGTGGATTACTGGATTAAACGTTTAATAACGTTTAATTGAAAGTTGAATATTTAATGCTCAGTTGAGTTGGATATACGTTACTATTTTAAATCATTCGACTAGCAATAAATAACTATTTTTGAATTAATTCGACCATTTCTCTTTTTTTCTCTTATTATATGATAACTAACATAATCCGTGATAACGTATCGAATATATCTTGCAACGTTGACGCTCGAATTAAAAACAACGATAAATTATCATCCCTCGACACGACAAGTCACTATCTGTTAAATAAATAAATCACCGTGACTCTACTAAAGTTAACGAAACAAATATTTACAAAAGCACCACGAATTTCGCAATATAATTTGCACGACAAACGTAGACGGTTACGCCAACGGTCGAACGATTCGCGATCACAAGATGGACTCCAGTTTGTTCCGCGCCTGGATGTCACGTGATTATTCAAAGCTAGCAGAGACATCTTTCGACGAGCGAGGGAATGAAAGTCGACGACACGTGGCGCAATCAGTCGACAAAAATGCGAAAAAACGAACAGCGACATCGAACGTCAACTTTGTATACGAGCACTAAGATGAAACACACACAAGCAAACAACCACCCTTCGGTTCTGCCTGTCCCCCCCCACCCCACGACCCCTTAACAAACCTTCGATCTTGCAGATCCTGACGTCAAACGAAAGAAACAACGCCCTTTGTCGTCAGTTTGAAAATAACGACTATCGCAAAAGAGCTGACATTTCGTACGCGCGCCATCTTTGCACGACACAGTGTAATCTGTTTAACGCGCGTAATCTTGTTGCCTGTTTTTCATGGCAGTTTGCATCACTCGAGCACGTTGTCACTTCATCGTTTCCTCAAATTGTCGACTCACCGTTTCATTTTCCACGATACACATTGGCTCCACCTCCATGACCCCCGTGAATTTACTTCTTTTCGACGTTCTTCAAACAAATCCTTCGTGACACGCTTTGTTAAATCGTGATTCTATCGTATTCTTAATACTTTGTAATGGCAACGTGTGTCTGTTTACAAACACTGCAAGGTCACACAGCAGACCCCTAGACGTCTGACTGTCGGGTATTTCATATTACGTCACAATCTCCGATGCTAGCGCCACTTGCGACGAAATCGTGAAATATTACGAACGTGATTTTCAGAATTGACTGCCGATAAATAGCCAAGTAGGAAATTTAGCGCGAAAGCGAAATAAATGTTTGAAACATTTATATAATTTAATCATTCATCTGTTTCTGCAATATTTCCCAATTTCCTTAAACTGTATGATACAGGGATACATCGCATATTAAGTCTATGTCACATCTCATCTATGACCGAGGAAATTTTAATTTTTAAATAAATTTTGGACATTTGATGTTTTTGACCATTTGCAAATTACTTTTGATACGAAATATTTTTTCATATAATTTGTTGCTCGACTTCGAGATTATCAATGATAGTGAATGCTTGTAGGAAATTCAAAAAGATTATGCAATATGAACGAAAAGCCTCAATTGGATTCTGAATATAATTGGATCATACACACGTGTATGAATGCCTTCAATGTCTATTTAACTATGCTCCATTTTACTTTCTATGATACCGTAAATATGCAACCAAATGCCACTCGTAAGTAGTAAATAATTTCATAAAAAGAATATTTTCGTATAAAATTTAAAATAGCTGTAAAGTTATCGTTTTTATAACGTACTAAAGTTGCAGAAGTTTTATCATATCCCTTATTCATGATGGTGGTGGATCTTCTGGTGTACTCTATATTGCAATGAGTATTAAAATCAATTTAAAATAAGCATGAACATAAAAGACAGTTTTATTGCTAACAAACTTGCATTTTTTAATCGTTACTGTTTACATCTATACCTTACGTTGCAAAATCAAGTTTCAAATTTAATGATATCTATTATCAAAACCGTTCCTGTATTTTTCTAAGTATCTATTATCGTAAAAATCATCCCGATTACTTCTAGTGTAAACACCTCTATAAGGATAATATGTTTCTTGTTCGTAATCTCTTTGCCGATATGGAAAATATCTGGGAATAAATAAATTATTATTAATTGATTGCGTGATTCATATCAATGATTGTTTTAACGGTAATATGAAATTACCTATAATCTTTTGAATAAGGTTTCATGTAAGGATCTTCTCTGTAATAACTTCCAGGTAATGTATCTACGTAATGACGTAAATATCCAAACAAAGGTACACGATCGTTACTACGATAAGGAATTGAATAATGTCTTTCTTTATGATTATACACATCTTCATTATTTTTATCAAAATAATGTTCTGCTTCGTTTCTCAAATAGTTTTTCCTATCATTTATATATCTATCATTGTTATATCCTCTGGCGTGATCGTGATAATTATCAATACTAATGTAAAACGATAAAGTGAAATTTTAACTTAATAAATAAATAGTCACACAATGTAAAATATGAATGCGTGAATAACTTACATTTTGCTATTGTCATATAGTCCCCGTTGTGCTTTATCTTTTTCAAAGTAAGATGCGTCGCGCGAACCGTCTCTAAACGAGTTCTGCAATTTTTGCCCATAATATCCATCAGTATTCCCAGACGACCTATGCCCTCCTTCGTTATCGCTGTCCTCGTAAAAGCTTGAATTATTTCCTGACTCGTCTTTATGGTAATTGTTACTGAAACCGGTCCGGTGATGCCCTTTTTTGTAATATCCACTACCATGCTGTTCAAAAGCATTCTTCTCATGATCGACCACCTCGGATTCTCCTGAACTGTGTCTTCCTTTGTCATGCCCTTTGCGTGCTGTATCTTGATTGCCGTATCTCTTTTCGTCTCGCTTACGTTCTTTAAATCCTAGTTCCTTGTTATAAATGGAGCTGCCTTCATTACTTTTCTTCTCCTCGTCGAAAATTGCGTGCTCAGCATCGATTTTTTTTTGCACATTTAACAAAGATCTTGTTGATTGTTCGTTATTCTGCACGGCATGCAAATCGGATGCGCAAAAGCTGCATTGAATAAAGAAAAAGAACACGATGTACGAAATGAAAAACGACATGTTAAAAAGCAAGTGTCAGTAGACAATTTGCTTATTCCAATCGGCTTAATCAATTATATAGAGAAACGAATGTCCTTGTTAAAGTGACAGAACTAAACGTATCCTGTACGCACAAAATCCATAGATCCGATGAATCAGCACGACCTTCGAATTTTTTTTTCGGCTCTTCGCATTAAGAAGTTAGCGCATCGACTGATGAAGCGAAACGAAAGTTTTATACGAAATCTTTGTAGAATAAATAATGCATTTTACCAAAGTTTTTAAAAATAGTAATCATATATTTTATTTTCTTGTTTCCCTTTTTTGTTTCCTATTTATTCTGTTTAAAACACCCATTACTTTAAGATCTTGTATTGTTTTAATATGTTAAAACTTACAAATAATACAAAAAAAGTTTGAAATAAATTATTCGTACGCGTTTATCATATAATATTTACAACTTTCAAATGTTGTTGGAGGCACATCTACAATATACTTGTCGGACAAAGGTAAAGGTAAGAAATATATCAGTATTGTAAAAAATATTCAAAACTTATATTTTAAGTCGTCTTCGTGGAAATTCTCAATGAAGAATTGTACAAGACGCTTAATTATACTCTAAGTATTGTAAGGGTAAGATGGGAGGGGAAAGAATGTATGGTATATAATACAATCACTAATCATCTTCGTGTTCCAAAAATATCGTAGCTCTTTCTAAACAGTACTTTCACGCACATTCGCTCTTACGCTGTGATTATTAAATCAACAGATTCAATTAAGTCACATACCAATTATACAATTTATGAACGTTTATAATTTATGAACGCAATTTAATAATTATTCTAGCTAAAGCTTCTAAAAGTGTTCAGTATTAAATACATTAAACACATTAGACTATTTCTCTTTTTTACGTTTATAAATTGTGGGATAATATAACAGTAGTTTGCCATCCATTTGCCATTTTGCATTTAACAAGCAAATTAAACGGTTTGCTTGTGCGTCCAAATTAAATTGGAAGGCAATGATTTTAATTCCGAATATATGTCGAAAAATATACGTACACATCATCATCGCTCTTAGTATCATTTCATCAAAATGATAATAACCGTTCGTGCGCAAAAGAAACACCGTTCAAAACATTGTTTATCACTTTGTGATTTAGGGTGGTTAAGTGTTTATTATGTATTTTTTAGCTGCTATGAAAAAATAAATTTATTATCCCACCCATTCTTGTATTCTGACGCAAACTTAAAAAAAAAAAAAAACACTTTACAATTCATTTCAGATTAAAACATTGCATTGGTACACAATTTATCATATACCAAAGACTTTTAATTATTGACAGATAATTAAAATCATTAAGCGATTACGCCGTCAGATAAAAAAAAAAAATTGTATCTTCATAGACCACCCCATTCACGACGATGAATGGACGTTAACTTATTTACAAAGGTTTATATGATTATTATACTTCCATAATTTATGCTTACTCTGTACACGCGCTTTTTCAAATTACTACGAATGAATATATTTACAGAATTTGGCGGTTTGTTAAAATATTTAAAAATTCATGCGATCAATGCGATCGCGGCACGCTATTTGTCTGTTGCATATGATTTTGGTCGTCGATAATATCGCGACTTGTAATAATGGAAGAAGTTCTGATTAATTTCACACTAATTTGTTATTCATCAAAAATAATACAGATCTACTCAAAAATCCGCCTATAGATCTCTATGAAATTATTATCTGTTCACTGGCATTTTCATTCTGTTCAACATAATTTACGTCTATAGTGCACACTGTTAATATTACCATTGTGATTCCTCTTTAGACTTTAGTTTAACGTCTTTTTTTAGATATAAGCGTGAATATTCATCTTGATAAGTAGCACATTGTGTATTCGACTTATTAAGTTTTTGTATATTACTACTAATTGGTGAATTACTTGGTGAATACTTCATTTCTTGTAATTCTTGCAATTCTTTTAACGACCTCATCACCATTTGAACATCTTTTTCTTGTTCCGTTGGTTGCACTGCGTTGCCTACTGGATCATCCAAAATAAGTCCAGTGTCTTTTCGTTTGTCTGATGATATCCCTCTTGATGATGTATCGTCATTAAAAATTTGACTTAAATAATTAGTAGCAGCAATTGTTTCTTCATTTTGTCTCTGTTCCTGTTCTTCTTTCGTAAGTGATGGTTGTTGCTGCTGCTGTTGCTGTATAGGCACTACATCCGAATTAACATATCCTACTTGTTTATCTAATACTTTTTGATCCTTTTTCTTCTTTTTAACATCATGCGATTTGTGTTTACCTTCCGCACATCGCTCCCGCTTTTTATCCTTCTTTTCAGTCTTATTAGCCAAATCAACATCTTTATCTTCTAATTTTTTATCATTTTTTATGTCAGTGTTCTCATGTAGCAGTCTGTGTTTTAAAGCTTTAGAAAGTGAAGGTGCTTGACTCAATGCAGAACAGTTAGACTGTTGTGACTGTGTACATGAGTATGAAGCTTCCTGTCTGTGCACGGAATGATGTCCACTTTGAGGCACTTCATTTGTATTTGGAAGAACATTCGAAGTTTCAGGATAAGCAGTAATAGAAACTACATCCTTTTTGTTTTCACTTATCTTCGTAGATGACTTGTGAAAATCATTAACCGGTGTAATAGAAAGAGAACTATTAACTAGATCCATAAAATTAATCTTTTCTACGTGACTTTTAACTGGTTTTTGAGCCATTAGCTGAGCCGTAGGCACAACAGAAATTTTACCTACACTGGAATTATTAGCTGCAATTGTTGAATTCTCGTGATACTGTCCCGAATTACTAATATCTTTATTCCTATCTTTATTTTTTATACTATGTTGCTTTTTTTCTATATTATCACTTGATTTTGTAGTTCCTTGTTTTACATAACTAGTAGAATTTTCTGTTGCATTTTGAATTTTAGATACATTCGCTGAGACCTTTTCTTGTGATGCAACATTTATACTTGACGAGTCAATTCTTGCAGAACTGTAAATCACATTTTCTGAAGAATTAGTATTACCATTACCAACTTCTTTCAGTTTTTTTGTTTTCTTTTTTGTCCTGAAAACAAACCATTTTGTTATGATACATATATTTTCTAAACATGTTTCAAATTTATATGCTACTCACGCAGGTTCAACCTCATGAACAAACTTTAATAAAGCTTCTGCTGTCATGTAGCCATGTGGCCATAATGGTAAAACTTGACGAATCATAAAGTTTCCAACATAAGTGTAGCTACTTGTTTTTCTTGGTCTTAAAACATTGTAACAATGATTTTTTATACTTGCAATTTCAGATACAAGTTTTCTATAAAAAGAAAAAAAAAGGGATTTTATGCACAATTCTCTTGATTTAACGAAGGTAAGATTCATTTCTATTTACTTTGCTTCTACAGTCCAAGGGAATTGTTTCTTAGGAATTTTCGGCTTATCTATGTCCTCACAAATTTCTTCATCATCAGAACTTTCAACATCTTCAGGTGGTCCTTCTACTTCCCTGGAAAAAAATAGATATGTTAATTATAAATAAAAAAAAAAGAAGAATGAAATAGGGAATTATAAAAGAATTCGGCGATGATAAAAGAATGATGATTTGCATTTATCGTGATAAAACTCCATGATCTGAAAAATTTCTGTGTAAAAATACATTATAAAATCCTAGATTAAAAACGTAGAAAAACAATGTACATGTGATCACTAAATTGAATTTTAGTAACTTAAAATTTTATTGCGTCACACAATGAATGATGTTATAATAAATTAAACACTGATACTGATGATAAGCCCCGTATTTTCACTATCTCAATAAGAACATTAAAAAGTTTTTTCTTTAATTTGTTTCACATAAAAATTATTTTTACAAATATTGAGATAGCAATACATATATATGTATATATGTGTGTATGTGTGTGTGTGTGTGTTCGTGTGTGTATATATATATGTAAGCATGATTAAAGTATAGGGAAAACACTAGAAAAATTGAAGAAAAAAAAAAAATAATAATAATTGGAAAGGTGAAAATAGAAAAGGTTTCCTCTTACGAGGGGCACCTTACCAACAGTACCGGTATATATCCCAGTATAAATGAGGACTAAGAAATAAAAAATTATCGTAAGTTCTCATTCAAAATTACATTGGTACTTAATTTATACTTTCAAATTACAAAGATATTATTCTTCTAATATTCTTTTTACGGATTTATTTTTTTTTATTAATCTAATATATATTTTTATTAATTATAAAAAATATTTAAAAGAAACACTTACTTTCCTTCAGCCACTTTTTTACACTCATCTACATATTTGCACATTGACATTATTTCATCAATCACTGTTTTTAACCTGTAATATAAAATTAACGTTAATAATTATTAAATAAAATATAAATGAAGTTATATATAATATCACTTAAATACATAAGTTTCTAATGCATAATAATATGAAGTCACCTCTGTATAAGATCCTTAGTTTTGTGTTCGAGATCTTGTATAAATAATTTCTTTGCTCTATTTTGAAGTGCTCCTTTACTACATGGTAAAAATCGTGCGAGATGCCCATACGTTTCTAACCTCAAACTTATAGGGGAAAGATCTCTCAATTTTTTTTCTAAACTGAAATAAAAATTCTGAGGTTTATTCTTCCAATATAACAAATATATTATAATTGCTTACCTTAGCAATAATGTATTTACTGTTACATTGAAAAATTTAGTTTTCCCTTCTTTACTGTTTTCTGCACATGTTTTCAACTTATTAACTATTTCTACAACATTTTCTGGAAGAGATTCAGGTAATGGTGCTTCTTCTTTATCGATATCATCGCATTCAGATTCTGTACCTATACATCGAGATTTGCCAGAATCTGTTGTATCCCTACTTGATTCATCCTCAACTCTTGCAGCATTCACTACACTCTCTATTGCATCATCAATGTTACTATCCTTACCACCTAATTTTTTTAGCTCTAACTTTTTGTTATCGAAACCGTTAGTATTTGATGTCTTTTTTTCAAACCTTTTTATGTCAAACTTTTTATCTGGCGCGTTTTTACTTTTTTGTGTATCGATCTTATCAGATTTCTTTTTATCTTCTTGATCTTCTGAAACTAAAATGTATAATATTGTTATTGTAACATTATAACTATTTTAATAATGTAAGTACATTACCTTCAGCATCTGTAGTTTCTCCCTTCTCTTTCCGTCTATTTAAATCTCCATCTTGTTGAAAATTTTGTTGATCTTGGGAATTTTGTTGCCTTTTCTTTTTTTTAATAATATTTTCATGAGTTTGCTTTTTCTCTCCATTTTCATCTATCTTTTGTTTCTAAAATAATCACAAAAATGTTTAATACAGAACAACAATGAAATAAATAATATTATATTGTAACTTCAGTTACTTTTCTTGGTTGATCACCAATAATATCTTCAGTATCATCTTCATCCGATGAACTGATATTTCGTTTCTCAGATCTTTTAGGACTGTCCACATCTTCTGTATCCTCTTCACTACTCTCACTGCTTTCATCATCATTGCTTTGATTATTGTTATTATTATTGTGAACCAATCCATGCTGATCAGCTGATGTAAATTCAAGAGCTCCACAATTAATATAAAACCCTCCATGTGCTGTAGTCATCTCCTCTGGTACAATTTCATCATACTAAAATAATTAAAGTATAAACATTATAAAATACGACAAACGTATGTAATATTCAATACATTACATACCGCATCAGTATTGTCGATGAAGGAATCATTTTCATCATATCCAGCTCCCAAATCCACGTAATCATCATATTTATGTCTTTTTTTGCCCATGGTAGAAGTTCCCTGTAAATTAAATATTCTTTAAATGATGAATAAATTTTTGTATATTCAAATTATCATAAATCTACAAAAATTACGTTTCACATACATATTTCGCTTCAAACCGTCTTGCCATATCTCGTAGTTTATCATCGTCATCGTCATCATCAAAAGATAATCCATTGGTTGCATTTTCATCTCCTCGTTTTAACTCTTTCCTACGTTTTTTCTGCAAAATAAAATTATTTACTTTACGACTGAATGCGAGAAATTATGTTTGCGTCATAATTTACGCACTCGTTTTAATTTCGTCGTGCGTTTTCACTATTTTATTAAAAAAATAGTCTTATTATGTGTACGCGTCTATCATTCATAACATGTTTCTATATGTAAAATTGAAACGGGAATCGTGTAAGTAAATTAACTTTTTTTTAATAATTTATTTATTAATAAATGTTTAAGTTAAAAAGTCATACTAAGTCAAACCATTGATGAAATGCAACATGATTAGAATTAACATTTAGAAATGTAAGTACGATAAAGAGGGAAAGTTGATTCAAAAGAGGGCATACACTGCCCGTTCATACCAGGAGCACATACTACGTGCAGAATGTCACTGTTGCTCTTTCTTTTGAGACGCGCAACTCCCTGTTATCTTCTGCTCTCCTAGTACGAGAGACGCTACAACCAGTGATTGATCCCAACAAAAATACAATTATCAATAAATTCAAATTCCATGCTTTGAATCATAAAACAATATTTCAAATAAATTGTATCGAATAAGAATATAAAGATATAAATTATTATTAAAAAAATTTTCAAGCTAAATAAATAATAGTACGCGAGATAAATTCATATAACTTTATTATTAACGTTTATGTATTATTTTATTTCTATACGTTGGTACTATTTTACACATAACATTATACTGCACAATTAAATAACAATAATCTTTTCATCAAAAATTTTTAAAAAAATTTAATTAATTTTCATATCAGCAAAGACGCAGATTTAAAGATTAGTTCATTTTTTTTATAATTCCAATTCAAAGATTATATAAAAATGATAATCTCTAGTTTCGACACAAACGTGATCTAGTAAGTTATAAGCTGTCGAAAATTAGAACAAAACAGTCATTTTGTATAACGTACATTTTTTTAATTTAAACTATAATTATTCCTCTTAAACAATGCAGATGCTTCATATTCTAAAAAAATGCCATAAGGAAGTAAAAATTATTATTTAAAAAAGTATATATATATATATTTTATAATTATATTAGAATTAAATATAAATTAGAATAGAGAAATATAAATTACAAAATAATATCGAATAACGGTATTGTACAATATCCATCTAGCGTGAACATGTTTTAAGTAGATATGTCGATGGTCACGAGTTTCCTCCCGGTGCATCGATCACGAAACTAACATACTCTGCATACAGGCATAAAATTATCGAAATAAAATACAGATTAAACTGCGATGTATGTACATTAAAAAAAAGGAAAAAATACCAATGAAAGAATCATAGTTTGGTGAAACGAAACAAACAGGTTCCCAAGTAAGGTGAATGGTTGTTTTAATAAATTCGCGATACCGGGTAATACTCTGTCGTGTTCTAATAATTCTCTAATTCTTCGACATACACGAAATAATGATTGTCACGAAAACAAATGCTGAAAACTTCTTCATAACCAGGTTTCGAACGAAACATCAAAGAGACGGCGTTTCATATTAGCATACGTTACACCGGTAATGCATCGTGACGTTTCTATTTGATGGTTTCGACTTGATCAAATCTTTTTCTACCAATTTGGGCATAATATTAATATAAGCTCACTGTTAGTGGATATACGCAAATAAGAAAAGCATACATATTGCGAGACTGTCGAAACTCACGCGGCAGCCGCGACATGACAATTCACTTGGCCAACAGATACAAGTTCCCTGCGTTTCATGTAGTCTGAAAATGGGCGATTCCATTGGCATTTTTGCAGTTTCTTGTCAAACTATCTCTACGTGAAACTAAATCATGACCGGTGTTCGTGACAAACTAAATGTGTTAGTAAACGTAACCGTATGGATAGGCATCGTGGATTTTATAATTCCTTGGATAGATAAACGAGTGAAAGGGACAACTGACCTCGGCTGCTTTGAGGAGTTGTGCATAGTTGAACTCAGGACATGCCTTCTCGTTCGACTCTGGCAGGGTAAGTGTGAAGCGGAAGGAGGGCGCGAGTTGTTTGCCCTTTTCTCCTTTTTTCTCCTTTTTCGTGGCGTAGCCCAAGGACTCCGGAAACTCCAAGGTCTGTAAAGGTACCCTTTTAGCTTCTGACATTCCTACATTTGCACCGAACTCAACGCGGATTACGGAAACACTGCGAACACTGCGGCAACATGGTCCTTTCTCTTAAACACCGCACCGACACCGCCACTCGCACGTCGCCATCTTCGGCTCGACTGTTTTTAGAGTGCGCTGTTAATGCCGCCGCCACACCGCGAATTTCACGCATGCGTCTCACAGTACAAATAATTTCAAGCAGAGTTCTCATTGAATAATTACGATATTGGAAACAATCCATGGAAAGGAGTACGATCGTTTCAATAAATTATTGGAAATTATAAAATTAATTGCTTATTTTGACATACGTCGCAGATTAATATTACTTGTACATTTGAATTTTATTGAGACAAAGAGTGTTCATCTCGTGAGTAGATATGTCTCTGTCAATAAAAGTACAATGATTTAATTTGCGTATATGTCATTTATTAAGAACTTTCGCTAACAACTTCTACAAGTTGTCATCTCGTCTATACAATATATCTGTGTAAAGATCATGTTTACAAATATAATAACCTTATCTCATATGTAATAAATATGATATTTCATAATTTATATTTTAATGCCTGCAATGTTAAAATCAGTTCAGTTATGTCAATTATAAAATGTTCTTATAAAATAAGAATAGTTAACTTATCTAAAACACATCGTATTCAAATGATCATAGTATTCAAAAGGCATCGCTTATTTAACTATCAGCATTTGAATTATTTTCTAAATTGTCTTGTTTCTTCGCAATTTTAATTGCTGAAAATTGCTGACCTAATATTTTCATCACTTCAGCATGCTTTATATTACGTTCTTTTTTCACACTATTATAATTTTCTTTTACATAAAGCGCAAATGCCGAAGGCTCTCTCTTCGGGGTTTGTATTTGTACGATTCCAGTCTTTGTTGTCTTGTTTAATAATAATTCGAATTTTCCATAGCAAAGGCCACATCGTTTTCTTTCAATATCCAAAGATTTGGAATGTCTACCAATGCTATAATGAAGTTCAAAATAATTTAAACGTATATACACCTTTGGAAACTTATAATTATATATGTGTTATAAATTTTGTTTTACCTGTATCCACAGTCTACGCATTTATATGTAAATTTCGTTTTAATTTTGTAATCATGACATCTTCTTATTGGTGGTAATTCAGGAAATGTTTCCATAGCTTTATTGGCCCTAGAATTAATTAAATTGACGTTTAAGTAAACATGAAAATAACATATGATTACTATAATATACCATTTTGTCCACAATGGACCATGTCCATCAGAAACCCCATTTATTAACCATGCAGCTGCATGACACATTTCATGAATTAAAGTATCTCTAAGTCTGTCTGGAGTATCTAAAATCTACATAGGAAAATTTATTTAATTGGTATATCTCTCAAAAATTTTTTAACAACTATATAAATGTACCTTCGTTGCCAGAACTATTCGTGAAGATCTTACAATACCACCAAGCGTTTTCACCGATTTCTTGTTGTAACAAAAACCAGCAGTTCCCCTCATACGGATATTCCATTCTACTGACATGTCTTCTGGTAATTTATTATCAAATACCTTTTCATTATATAGTTTGTACAGATAATTGCACAGATTTTCTTTATTATTTTTAAAATGTAATCTATATTTCTTAGCATCTGGATGTACATCAGTAAGAGGAACTTTTTGAGATAAAGATGCCAAAAAACTGATATATTTTTCATGTTTCAAATTGTTGGCAATTAATTTACTTTGAATGTTTGATTTGGGTACTTGCTTTGTAGTTTTAATAGAAGCTATAAAGATATTCTCATATTATATATGTGTATATATATATATACAATATATATATACGTAATATATTACGTAAATAATGTAATATTACAATACCTTTCTTAATTGTAGGTTTTGGTAGTACATCATCACCAGGATCAAATTCACTAGTATTTGAATCTTCACTTTCATCATCACTAAATGACAACATTCTTCCTCTTATGTTGAATATTTGATTATTTCTATGCATATCACCTTCACATTCACTATCTGTATCACATATTGTACGAATTCTAAAAAATAAGAAATAATGGTTATTAAAAAGTATACTTACTTTAAACATATGTTTATTACCGTTGTACAACTCCTAGAACTGCTGGTTTTGATTGTGTACTATTTGTTGATACTCTTGGATTCGTCAATGCAGTATAATACAAACTTTCATGTTCACTTTCTGATGATGTTTGATCATTAATTAAACTATCTCTCTGTTTCATATTTTTTCGCACATTTCTCTTTATTGGCGGATGTAATGTTAGATCTTTTAAAGTTATTGAATTAAAAATAATTAAAACTGTCTCTTTAAAATAAATAAGAAATGTAGTTTAATAAAACTCTACTAAAAATCATTACTTACATGTATCCGAATCATCATCTGAATCCGATATATATACTCTTTCTTTATTTATAATCTTTCTGTAACAATTAATATTTATAAATTTTAATTATTGGATTATTACTAATTAGATATAATATTAGATGTACTATTATATTTATAAATTACCTATCAGTCTGGACTGCTCTATTTTTTGTTTTAATAACTTGTTTACGAGGTTCAGATTTTGAAAATAATTCATTAGCTTTATCACGCCAAGATTTACCATATAATTCATCTAATATATTTACACACTCCATGATATCTACATTTTGTGGTTTATTCATTATAGAATCCATTGGAATTGACACATTATTAGTATGACTCTTTTTTGAGCGCTCAAAAACATTATTTTTTGTTCTTTGAGCAAATTCATTTATTATAGTCTTATGTGGTACAGTAGAGTGAGATGGATTATAATTTGGAGTTGTAGTTTTACTTTCTTTTAACTGATGTATTCTTCCCCTATTATTTGGAGTTTCATAATTCATCTCTAATCTTTCTAGACTACTATTCCCAGAGCTTATATCATTTTTATTAGTAAGAGGCACAATATTAGATGAACTATCACTTTGAGAATCAGGCGAATTAGCCATAAGCCATTTTGAAATCTGTTGCCTCTTTCTCTCTGATAATTCAACATATGCTGCTCCTCTATCTTTTTCTATATGAGTTGTGCTCAAAAATTTACTAACATGAGTTTTATAAGGATTTGCCAGATTCATTTGAGAACCTCTAATAATATCATTCTCAGAATCTATTGCACTTTCATTATTTACTTCTAAATCATTTTTAGGTGAAATAGCTGGATGTATGATCATATCATCTATTTCTTTATCAAATGCAGTATTTCTTTCTTTTGGTGATTCATATATTATTCGTGTAGATCTTATATTTTTTATAATATTTTTAGTATCTTTTCGTGAAAGCTTTTTCTTAAAATCAATATCATTTTTATTCATAGGAGATGCAGTTTTACATGATTGAATATTACTATTGAAATTCTTAGAATTATTAGTATCAACAATATTACTATGAGATTGAACATTTGTATCTGGTGTGCTTTTAACGTTGTCTGTAGTAAAACTTACATAAGTACTATTAGTTTTACTAGAAGATATTATATCTTCTTTGATATATTCAATACTACTGCATGAAGATTCATCAGATGTGTATAATATTTTATCTTTTTTTATATTATCTTTTTTTCCTTGATAGTTACTACCAAATTGGGATTTTTCATTTGCCTTCCATGTTTGAAAGTACTTTTTTTCTGTAATCTTTGTAGAATCAGAATCTGAAGAATCCATAACATAAGTTATAAGATCTTTATTTGGTGTTGACTTTGATTTAGTCTTTTTAGTAACAGAACAAGTTGATTCAAAACTAGAATCACTTATTATTACTATATCTTCATCATCATTTATTTCTTGAGATTTAGTATAGTTAGATATAGTAGAATCTTGTGATAACTTTAAGCAAAAATTTTGTGAATTACAAAGAGATTCTTCCATTTTTTCTCCAAATTGCAATTTTGTATTATTATATTCACCATATATTTCATTTTGTGCTCTACATTTTACTTCATAAGATATTCCATCCTCTGTTAAAATTAACAAGCTCATAAAAGGTACTATATTAAGTAACTTCAAAAATATAAAATATAATTACTTACTGTAATTAGGCATACTTTGTCAATAAATAATCTTTAAATAATACTCTTCAGCTTAATAGATATTCCACTATCGTTATATACTCTATTTAAAGTAAATCCAAACATAAATAAAAAATGCATGTATAAACAAAAACAACACAAAATTATCACATATACTTGATAAAAGTGAGAAAATGTTATATCGAAACAGTACTTTTAAACTTGTATTATCTCATAATACAAAAAAATGATATTACATTTTGTTATAAATTATATTATGATAACTTTGAAATTGAAAGTTAAAAATTCACTGCCGTTCGAATAAAACGGTTAAAATTTGGAATCAGTATAGGCAGCTAGTAACATTAAGAAAAGAACTAGGGTAGTACTAAAATTTCCATTGGTAATATTAAAAACGTCATTAAATTATCACGTGTATAATATTTATATTTTATTTTGCTTACTTCTTGCAAGAAAGCGTAGTTATTAATTTCCATACAAGATATGACATTTTAAAATTCAAAAGATTAGTGCTAATATTTGCTAATATTTGTACGTGCAGTGAATAAGTAATATTACTAGATATCATAATATACATTTAAATATATAAAAACGTACGAAGTAGTACAAACTTTAATATTTTTGAAACTAAGAATAAAAATTGAATCTTTCAATTTCGCAGATAAAAAATACTTTCGAATAACTTTTAGAACAGATGTGTTCGATGAAATTAGTTCTGTAAATAAATTGCCATTTATTGTCATATCTTGAAAGTGAATGAAATTGATCAAAAAAAATTATTTCTTCACTGAGAAATTTGGCATTAATCCAAATGTTAACCTCAAGTGTTTCCGCTAGTTTTGAACGTTGATTTAATGACCCAGAATTATTCTATGATATATTCGTTACGTATATGCAAAAGATATGATCAGATAAATAGATATTGAAAGATAATAGAAATAGAAAGTGGAATAATTGACAATTATAACTTATCAAATACATTTGAAATCTTCCTATGAGTTATTTAACACTGTTGTGTCGATTATTCTTCTTTCTAATCTTATATTCGAAGTTACTGTTAATTGCTCATTACACCGAAAATAAAATCCGAACAATATGGCTTAAATTAAACTCGATTAAATTCTAATCCAAGTTGGAAAATATCACTTCTAACCATCTAAATAGATATCACGAAAATCATTACAAGTTTTAAGTTTCAACAATTTCAGTAGAAACAATTAAGTTCTTAGATGTTGAATAAAATTTGTTGAAGGAGAAAGGATTAATACTTTCGATAATTATTAATAAGTATATACTAAGGAAAGTTTGAATTGGCTTTTATTAAAATATAATAATATAGGTTTGTTAATGAAAGATCGTTTCTTAATATAGGAAGAAAGGAGAATTATCAATAAGTATATATGTATTTCATACTCTAAAAAAAATTTATTTCTTCATTCTCAATATTCACGAAATTTCAATGCTGATGAATTATCAAATATTTTGTGAAGATTTTCATCAAAATGCAATTGATATTCTGCCATAAAACTCGGAAAATATTAACAATGAAGTTGCGAAAACTTTTAAGCTCGATGATCCGGTCGATCGTAAATATTCCATCGAGTCTCGTAACGAAAACACCGATGAGAATCTTCAGCTTTTCCATTAATTCACACGAAAAGACTTTTCATGTTTTGCATAGTTAAAAAGCTCTTGAGATTTTTGAAGTAAGGATAACAAAAGCAAGTTCCATTTCAGGTGATAGATAAGTCACTGCAATCGATTTTTTTTTTTTAATCTTAGAATTGTCAAACTTTCTTCGCAAATGTGTTTCAAATAAAAAAAAAATCGCATTACTCACAAAATTGTATTTAGAAAAGAAAAATATTCTACGCTACATTAATACATATAAACTGCGGATTTGAATCGAGAAGATCTCGAAATTACTAACAGTGATACAAAGCGACATTTAATATGGTAATATATGTATGCTGGGTATAATCTAATGGGGCGTGTTTACATACGTAGTAGATTCACAGTCAATGCATTGATAATGTTGCGTTTCATGGTTCGGAAAAAAATTACATCTATTGACCCTGCATATTTGTCTGTATGTGGTAGTATAGGAGTCCATAAAAATATCAAAAACTAAACCGATATCGTCGGAAATTAAATACGATTCATAGAATTTTTCATCTTTGTAATGCAGTTGTATTTTATGTACATGCGTGCAATTTAATAATCGTCCATATTTCTGTTTCCTTAAAATTTCTCTTTTGTTATTCGATAATTATTTCCTATAAATTTTAGCTATTCGTGCCTCTTCCTTAAGCTGAAATATCAATATTAATAGCTTTCAGTCTTGCAATTGCAAATATTTTAAAGCTAAATCTCGAGAAGGACATGCACTTTATACTCGCTCACCCTTCTACAAATATTCCCACATGAAATTCAAACATTAAAGTACTTTTCAATCGAATCCAGCAAACACGTAAAATCCAGTTTTCCATTACCTCTGGAGCGATACTAGCTTCCTTGACAAGATAAATCTGGGATTAATGCTTCGAGAAGATTTTTAACTTTGTTTATTTTTCTTATTTGAACATATTGCTGACTTTTCTATTCGCTATTCGATTAACAGATGTATACCTTTCTTTCAGAACACGACGATCAGATGTGCGTTTCACTCGAGGGGATATCGTCTTTGTCAGACATTCGATATCTAAGACGTCCATTTTTCATGTGCACTAGGATCGATGATTTTTTTGTTTGTTGTAAAAATTGCGAGGCATAGATTTCTTCAGTGTTTTTATCTACTGTCAGCGAATCGTTGACAGGCACGTTATTTATTCGCTTTTTTGTCTCTCCATCCTCTGACTCTGACTGTAATTGGGCCGCATCGTGTAAGTTGATTTCCATGGCTCCAGTTGCACTGTACCTATATATACGTATGTCGGGAGCGACAATTTCCGGAAACATGAATTCATTTACAAACTTTCACACTTGTACGATGTGTAAAGTGTTGTCACGTATACGTGAGATCAACAATTCGTCAAACACGAAAATAGGTGTAAAATTAACGAGGAACAAGATGCTTTTAACAAGCGTAACACAAACTGTGACTTACATCGCATGTTGTTGCCTATTTATGCTTCCTCCTCGAAACACCCGAGATCCTCTGCTAGGCCTGACATCGTAAATTGTGCTAGAATGTCTCACATTGCTCAGGTCAACTCTATTAATGGATGGATTGCTGAGAAAACATCGATATGTTTCCTTAAAAGCGTTCCGATAATTCACGCTCATCACATTATACAGGATAGGATTAATGGTAGTGCTGAAGTAGTAAAGACAACCGGTAACCGGATATACCCACTGATCTATATCATCATATGTCGAGTCCGCGTACACGTATAATAATCGTTGAATATGAAATGGCGCCCAACAGATGAAAAATGTGATCACTACGGCACCTGTAGAATCAAGTTGGAGCACGATTTCTATTCATCTTGATTTCAACGTTCCGGTGTTACGCATGTTATGACAAGTTTCATTTACTAATACTATATACTATACTGTTATCTTTTTATTTTTACTTTTACTGATACTACACTGTTATTTTTTTACTTTTTTTCTTATCTTTCGAATATAAATCTATAAATCGACATTGATATTTTACAATGAATTCTGAGAAGTGTAAATGGCAATGTTTGTAAACGAAGGAAAAACTTGATAAGTACGTTTTTGTTGATTTTCTAATTTTAATTTCATTCTATAGAAAAAACAAAGTTTTTTTCAAAACTAGTTGAGAAAATTTTGTGGAAGCTGAGGCATAATTATTTTAATGTCTTTAACATCTTAATATTACGACGAGCGATACTCTGAAAATTTTAAAATGGATAAACACGTTTAGCCCCAAAGCTAAATTAAAAAATTTTCAATTATGTTACAACTTGCAAAAATATTGGTATTTTGAGGCAATTTTGTCACGTGTTATCGACAAAAAGTCGATAATGGAAAATTTGAAGTGATGGTCGCACGTTGCCGAAAAACTTTGACATCCACGTTCGAATATTAGCTTTCTCATCAATTTCTGAACACGTTTCTTAATAGAGTATTATCTATCATCGCGGAATAACGCCTGTCTTTGTGGATAATTCAGTTCATTCTCTACATTTGCATGTAGGTATGAAACTAATTCATATATTTACGAAAAGCTCATTAAAATCTGGCAAGAACGAAGAATTGGATAACATTCATTTAAAACTAAACATTTACTCAGCATTCGTGTGATGGTTTTCCGTGACTGGGCTTGTTTGGTTTCACCATGAACATATCCCTCGACGTTCTGCGCGAGGCTGTCACTTTGTATTCGCAACCCTATTCTCACGTAGAGCACCGCGATAGACACCATTGGTATAAGAAAAAAGAGAATGCAGCTAAGTTGATAAAGAGGAAAATCTGGCATGTTTTCCTTCAACATCACACAGATAGCCGATTCCTCCGAGTTTCGTGTAGAATCTGGAAATCGAATTAAAGCGATATTTTCAGCGAAAGAAAATAACTGCTTAATCAAATGAAAGAAAGAAAAAAAAAAGTGAACCACGCGAAAATTACCACAAGGAAACGCGGTCAGAGTCGCGTATATCGAAAAAAGCTTTTGACATGAATTTCTCAATCTCATTTATTCCATTGGTATTTCCAATTTTCCAAACCATTCACCGACTATCAACTACATTTTCGATTTATGATCGTAAACGCAGTTTACGAGATGTACTGTGAATAAATATCTATCCCAGTATCGTATATCTGCACTGTCGCGAAATTTCGTCAATATGAAATTTGTAATTCGAATGTAAAATTAATACTCTCAACTTTCGAATACTTGTTGAAATTTCTAAAAAGCTTTTATAGAATTACAGAAAACTTCTGTAGCAACTTTGCGAACAGCGAACCTGAACCATAAACGACGCAGAATAACGAATAGTTTTGTAAGAACTTACTTTGTGGGTATTCAACGTAATTTATGTCAATATAAGTAGCAAATGGCATAGCAAAAATCAAAGCTGTCAGCCATGCACCAAATATAGATCGTATAGAACGCTTCAAACCACTCCCATAATGACGAAGAGGATGATAAATAGCCAAGTATCTTTCTACTGAGAACGCTACGATAGTTAGTACCGATACGTAAGAGGACCTTCAAAAAGAATATTCCTATAGTTTACATGATTTTTCCTGCATTATTTAGTATAATGTTTCAAATATTCTTATTCTATTCTTTGGCTGATGTTACATCGACTTACGTTTCAGAGACGTATGCTCTTAGTTTACATATACCTAATCCCCATTGCCATGGATATTGTTGCCAAAATACACTCAATTCGAAGGGTAAACCTGAAAATCGATTGAAAAATTTGTGTTTGTACTGTTACTACGATCATAGAAATCTATGCGTCTTTTAACTATCGGCGAAATAAATGTCGTTTTTGTTAAATTTATTCGTTGAATTATTTTTCTCGATCGACCTATAACCGAATATTCGAAACCGTTTTCATAACTAAAAGAACAGAAAGGTACGCTTTGATGAGCTGTACTCAATAATATGAACGTAAAAACGGAAGAGGTGCGATAATATAAATGGAAAATATTTTCCAATCAAACTTTGATATTTTCTGTCAGATTCCTTTCCATGTTACGTTAGCTCGTACCTCGTAATTATTCAAATTCAATTACTGCTTTGGTTATGTCAATGGAAAGAAAGGAAAAAAAGAAGATGATATAGAGTAATGATTCTGGATGAAAATCAAGACAAATCTGGACAAAGTCAAGGCTATTTTCGATGCAAATTACTCTATTCATAATTGATAAAACGCCCGATAAAAATGAAATCGTAACACGAAACTCTTCGTTATTACAAAGATGATCAAACAATCCATTTGCTAGTTCAACCATCCAATATGTGACGATTGTGCAAATATTGTCTCGCAATCGTAATTCTACTGAAGTTACTAATCGGTTCATATTGTCGATTAGAAAAGTTTGTCGGTAAATCAAAGATATCAATAATGAGTCAAAAATTTCGAACAACGTATTTTTCTTAAAATTCTAATTATTTCTTCTTTCTTATTTCTAATACAGTTCTTTATCATTACAGATAGATAACAAATACGATCTTGTTAGATATATGTAAGTACTTATATATGTACCAATGCAGAAATTGAATGATACGTCAATTACTTGTTTTACTTATATCAGTTTCCATTTCTATCACAAGCATACGATATATAAACATAATCTGTCATCAATGAATCCCGTCTGTCTCTTGGCTAGTTATGAATTAATCGCAACTAATGGATTCAATACGTTATCTACACGCGTCAGTCTGAAACGATATTGTACATAAATTGTTTTGATTATCATGAGACTAACAAAGGGATATCTCGATTTTAAATTAATAACATAATTAATAATTAATTAAATTTGCAAATAAATTTCCATCTTGTCTGAGATGTTTTTTTAATTCAAATGCTTCGATTTGCAATTATCGTATAAATTATGTTTGATCGTAATTACGAATCAACATTGATTACTAAAGTATTTCCGCAAAAAATATAAAGGAGGAAACAAATAACGCACATTCTCGAACTTACCTAATATCAAAAGCAGCAAGTCGGATACCGCTAAATTGAACAAGTAATAATTCGTCGGAGTCTGCATAGTCGGATTCCTCCATATAACGATACAAGTGATCGCATTGCCGATAAATCCGGTCACGAAGATGATAACGTACGTAAGAGTAACAGGCACAACCAACGTCAAGGGCAAATACTTAGGACCGAGTATTTTTTCCAAGTATTCCAATTCATCGCTGTTGTTCTCGTAAAACGAGACGTTCATCATTCACGAAACTTAATCACTGTGTTTTTCCCCTCCTTTAAGTCACGCAACAACATTCATTCTACTTCACTTTGAAAATATTTAACAGTTTATTTTCCCCATAGAAACCTGCTCGTTACTCTTCGACGAACGATAATTCGTCTGTTGCTCGAAATTAGAGCTCGAGAGTCGAAAATATCACAGAATGTTACTCTTTTATTTAGGATAATAACACCGATGCCCCCTCGCGCGAGGGATGATTTTAATAGCGCACCATCCGCCAGATCGTGGACAAGTGACGTCTCCCGAGTTGCTCACCTTTGCACCACGCGCCCATCCCTTTCACCCCCGCAAGCCAGTCCACGTCGTAATCCGACCAATAAAATCGCGCGAATCTCGGCAAATCAACCATTCGAAATATTTTCTGCAATTTCTGATTGTTCTTATTACGAAGGGGGAATTTCTGCACGCGCGTATGTCTACACATATTTCACGTGTCGCAGCCGACCGCGGGATTGCTTTTCTCGTAGACGCGATTTAGTATTTCCGCGGTCAGGAGTGTAACGTTAAGCCAAACTTAACACCGTGATAAACTGAAACTTTTGTAACAAAAAGATAAACGGTCGCACGATTTTCATTTAGCTTTAACGTGGAATGAAGAATTCCTTCGAATATTGTTGTCCTTCCGACATTATTTGATTTACTCGCGTCGATCACTCCACGTCAGCAGCTATGGCAAATAAAATTGAATTTGATCGTTCCACGGTATTGTAAAAATTTAATGTTGTTTGATCTTACGAAGGAAAAGTTACCAGTTGTGCGTGATCTCGTTAGAAGCCATTGTTAATGCCATCGTTATTAAAACCCTGTACTTGGAGTTAGAAACGGTACTATATCACGTTAAAACGTGCAATTAATGTCGCTCATAAGATGAAAACAACGCAAGTATGGAAGGATGCGTATTTTCGGTGTCCACTTAACGTTGGAAATCACTTCAACGACATCAAAGCATGGGTTTATTTCGTTTCTTATTGTACACGTGATCAAGTACAAATGTTTTTCGTGTAATTTATTTTCAGTAAATCGTAAATATTTCTCTATGTTTAATTGAAAACTTTTGATTTCGACAACTTGTTCTTTCATTCTATCGATCTTACGTCGCGTCTCGAGAATTTTCATTTCGTCCTGCAAATTTCCACCTTATAATTTCTAGGTGTTGATCTCTGCGACTTGCATTCATTTGCACGTTCTTCACAGAAGCATGACAAAATACAGCAAATTAACGTTCGAAGTATGGAACAATCTTTGATACCTTTCTCGTTCTATGGTCGGGTTTGTCGGTATCGCGAACTAAAAAGTGAATCACATATTTCTTCGACTTGTAAGTTTCCCGCAATAAATATTGCCTGTTTCTCTCGTGATCAAGACGAGCAATCTCAATTGCTTGTTTCGGAAAATGTATCTGATGGAAATGGCAGAACAAGAAAGTTTCTTCGTAATCAATAGTTATTGGCGGAGCATACGAGTCGAGGATTAAGATCAACGTGCCAAGAATAAAAATGTAGAGAAAGAACTGAAAAATACGACAGTTTTGACACTCCTTAATCCCTCTCAATGTGTTAATTCAGCTGTTGATAAAAAAAAAAAGACAAAACAAGGAATGAAAAATATAGCTTTGTTAAATACGATGAATGAACGTGGACAAAAACGAAAACTTGAGAAGCAAACGAAGCAAATTCCTGCTTTCTTTACGTCACGTTTATTTCGTGCTTTACCTTTGGCGTCTTCGTACCGTGTACCGACATAATAGTATTACGTTTCCTCGTTTTTGTCCTTATTCAGTTTGCGAGCAAGGTTTTAGGTGATAAGCAGTAGATTAGAAAACGTTGTGTCTGAAAAGGAAAGAGGAAGATCAATAAAATCGCGCATACTGCAGCACATGAATGATATCTAACGGTATTATCATCGCGCGAGAAAACGATATTACCCATTGCAATGATTTTTGGCCCATCAGTTGTGCGAAAATGATCCGAAAAATGCACTGGTATATCAAATAGCAGCATTCGACAATCACGAATACGATCAATTCTGTCAAATCACACGAATATTCCAAGACAAGCGTTGCTATTTTCATCTTCTTGAAATGTTGTTATTAACAGTCATATCCGACGTTAGACGGAATATCATGAACGAATACGAAAAGTTTAATTCAGGTTACACCATTCATTTTGACAAGTTGAACTCCTAACTCGTTCTTTTGTTCAGCGTCAAAATTCTATAGTTGAGAAGTAGAAAGATTAACCCAATTCTATCGAAGTTGTATTATTGGCACATCTTTTAAAAAGTTGTTTTCTTAAAAGTATCAACAATTTATCACGTGATATTCTATCATTTTCTACGTAACGATTATTGTGTTATAAAATACAATTTTCTCGCGAAAGTTAAAAACAGAAGGTAGAGAGAGATTCATTTCGAATCATCTCGAATTTTATTATTATAGAGCCAATAGCGAACTCGAATTAAGCTAAATGAATCACGTAACAATATTAAAAGTTAAAAGTTTTGCTACTACGGCAATTACTTTTTGCTCTTTTAAATACGGAGTTTTATTTACACAAACTGTACACAAAACTGTGTGCTAGTTTTTTTGTAATTATGTGTGAACTCGAAGAGTAGACACCTTGCAAATACGAAACTTCGATTTTCGTACCCATGAACTTCGTACACTGATACAAACGTAAGTTTGTCACATTTCCTCCGTCCATGTTCACTACGAAGTTCGAACTTGATGTCAATCAATTCGAAACTTCAAGAAGTAATTAGAACTTGTTCCTCGGTAAAATAATTCTTGGAAAACTTTTACTGCAAACATACTATTTTTAAATACCATATTGTGCATTTCTCCATAATATATTCTCTGCGAATTTAAATTATTCTTACTGTGAATGTGTCACTTTAAAATGTGAATCGTAAATTCTACAGAATGTTAATTTTAATTTCCTATTATCCGTGTGATAATTTATTAATTTCGTTATTAATTTCCTCTGAATTCACGTGAATTTTAATTTGTTATTAATTTGAAAAAAAGGACGGAGCAGAGAAAAGTTAACACACAAAGCGAAATAAGTAGTCTTGCATTGTTAATAACAGAAGAATAAGAATTTTGAGGAGAATACAAAAACTTTGATGGAAAAAATATCTAATAGAAAACTTTAGAAAATTTAAAACAGTTTCTTGATTGTGTTCAGTGGTATTTAAAATAGCTTTCCATAAAAAGGTCTCAAACTTTTGATAAAGAGAATAGGATCAACATTCTTGATGTCCCAAGTGTACGTAGAGAAAGTTAGGCCTGGGACTTGGAAATGTTTCCAAGCTAGCCTTCCAGGCGCATGTGTGTATGAATGACGAATTTTGTGCAGATGAGGAAGAAGGGAGTGAGTTGCGAGCCGTAAAAGCGAGAAAACAGAGAGAGAGCTGTGAATCTTGAGTGAGCGAAGATTGAATGTAAATTGTAGTGATTAAGAAAAAATAGTGTAAAACGTCATTTTATAATCATTATTAAACGAATTTTCTTTATTTAACTTTATAAATAAATAACCATCTTTTATTAAAATTCCTACAAATTGGAGTCTCAAGTCAGGATTCCTACACTTCTTTGCTATCATTTGCTATCAAACTAAAACATTTCTTACTCATCTTTTGAATCATACTACTAGAACAAATGTCGTTTACTAATGTATTTATATTCCGGTTTTTACAATTTTTCACTAAATTTATTAAGTATATATTATACATAATCCTTAAGTACAATCGAATAAAAATTAATTTACAATATGGTCAAAAAATAAATAACTATAAAACTTGACTTTTTGTACTTAAAAACTATTATGTACAATAACTTTTAACACCTAACAATGTACAACTTAAATTACAAAAAGCTACTAGTTGTAGAGCCAGACTTCTCCTCGTTCGTGTTACATACAGAATTCTTGTCCTCCTGAATAACTGAGTGCGTTCGATTGAGAAGCGGTTTCGACGTGGAATCTTCCTTTTTCAGCACGTATGATTTACGGGCGACATTATCGTTCGTGTTTCCATCTCTAGTCACAGTTTCTCGACTCGCAGTAAATCGAAACATCTCTTTCGCCTGACTGATAGTGTACCTAAACAGAAATGTCAGCGATATTAAACGTCGTCACTTTGACAACTTTTTGCGGAACTATGTTAATAATAATAATACTACCTCACTGAACACCTGAAGTTCCGCGCTTTCTCGCTCGAACTATTATTACGCACTTGAGACTCCCCGGTCACCCAACTCCTCCTGCCTGTCATTCTCGTTTTGCAGCAGATCGTTTGTTTAAACGCTTTTCTATACTTCATGCTCATTAAGTTGTATAAAATCGGATTGACGGTTGTGCTGAAGTAATAGAGACATCCGCTTAAAATGTACAGGCATTCGTTCAAGTCTGGATAATAGTCAGATTCTTGCGCGTAAATGTAAAGCAGCCGCTGAGCGTGGAACGGTGCCCAACAAACGAAGAATAAAATAACAACCGCAGCTAAAACAATAACAACTATATATATATATATACATCTCTCGTAAAAATAATGGTGCTACGTGAAACGTCGAAGATAGAAAATATATCCTACTTAACATTCTGATCACGGACTTTCGAGACTGAATTTGTCTCGAGTCACCGTGAATGGCGCTCTGCACCACCGAGTTCATAGCATCATTTGTACTGTTCCTGATTCTCGCGCCCATCCTGGTATACACCACCAAGATAACCAGCATCGGTATCAAGAAAAATATGATGCTGCTCAACTCGTACAGAGGGAAATTTGGCATATAGGGCAACAACATGCCGCAAATCGCGGAATTAGCCGAGTAATTGCCGGAACCTGAATAATTATACGTTTCTGTTATTTCTTGCGACACGTGCGAGTAAAATCAATGCAATGGGACTTTTTAATTAACCTGGTGGATATTCGACCAAGTTGACTTTCGTGTAGATTGCAAATGGTATAGCAGAAATCAAGGCAATCGACCACGCAGCCAAAATGAAGCGTATCGGTCTTTTCAAGCCACTCATCGTATAAACGCGAAGCGGGTGACAAATCGCCAAATATCTTTCCATAGAGAAGGCTACTATCGTAAGGACTGATACGTAAGAAGATCTGCATCAGGCAAAGAGCACGTTTCAGTGGAAAATTCAAATGATACAATAATTCGCAATATAGTCATAGGTTGCTTACACTTCCGATACGTATGCTCTGATTTTGCAAAGACCGACTCCTAGGGCCCATGGGTATTGTTGCCAAAAGAGGCTCAGCTCGTTAGGTAATCCTGAAAGTGATTAATAACGATAACGATCGAAGAACAAGCAGATAGTGATCGAACGACCGAGATAATTTCATTTCGATTATATTAACACAAGTCTTTATTTTTATTGTTTTACATGTAGTTATCTGTAACGTATTTCTGTGACGAGCGTGCAATTGACGTCAGATATCTACGCCGGAACAACGAGTATCGTAACAATTGAAGAATGCATGCGCCTCCGTGGTACACATAACTCATTTTCTCGAAAGTAGATTTTACGACGGACTTAAACTCGGAGGGTAATTAATGCGTAGACACGCGTAAGCAATGTCTTACGACGAAGTTGCGGAGACAAGAATCCGTAGCTCCCATGTTAAACCGACTTCAATATTTATTATATCGTTTTAGAAACTGTTTCTATCTCCTTTTAGATAACTGTATATTATATAATGTAACGATACAATTATCTAATGAGGACCTATTTCCTAATAAACGCTGACAACGAAGGCTCGACGCACGTTAAACGACTCGTTTGATAGGATATGATTACTCTAAGTTCAAATGAATGTCATCCTACTAGAAAACGCTAATTAGAAGCAATGGTATCGTACGATATTTTACGATCAATATTCGATATCGAACGTACCGAATGCACGTAAATATTGAACATCTTATCACAATTTTTTTAGTCGGCGATTTTCATCGCTGTTGCGAACAATATACCTATCGATAAGAATTGGACATTTTTTTCTATCTTTTCGATCATACACGCAGAAACGGCTTCTTTCTCACAGCATAAAAAATACAATAAAGTGTGATTAAGTATTATCTATCAAGTTGAATAGACCACTTGGGATATGAGATTTTTTATTATAATTTAATCGGTCTCATTGACGTCTATAACTTTCAAAATAGAAAGGTTCTCTGTGAAAGAAGAAGTTCTCGGCTAATATTTTTCATACGATTACAACGCTAACACAGCAACATTCAAATTTCATTATTGCTACTATAGAATGCTCTTATCTCCGCGTCGTTTCGTTATCTTAATCTTTGATTTTGGCTATTCAAACGACGAATGTACGTGCGAGTTAATTTTGTAAACGTGAGACAAAATATAAATATCTGTAGCTGAAGCATTATGTTTATTTCTATCGTTTTAAGTCTCTGAGAAGTCGACAAAGACTTTTCAGAGAGGCATCTGCGCATCCATGACTTTTATCCTAACAAATTCGCTCTATGACGCAAATAAAAACGACATTACGATCAGCAAACAACTCACTGAGCAGATAACAATCGCTCATGTACACATTAGAGGAAGATTAATTTAAAGCCTTTATCATCGAGTTAAGAAACAAAAAGTAAAACGGTCGGAATTCGAGTCGCGTCATTTCTGCCTGTACTTCTCGAAACAATCTCTCTTGTTTCCTATTTCTTTGTTAATTTCTCTTATATTAACAATATATTCGAACATAAATTCTCACTAAATTAAAGTGAATTATTCCCGTCCAAGTTGTTTCAATCGAAACGCTTCTTCCCGTTTAATAACTCAATCGTGTGAATGTTATTTCAGGGGTCGGGCATAAATCTAATTCGATTATACAGTCCCTTCGTGTCGATTAAAAGCAAATCGATGATGTACCTATAGAGGATTGGATGTATCCGTCCACGCTTTATCTTTATTACACGTCTATCGAACCTCATTATCATCATGTTCCTTCATAAATTGTTTTCACGAACGGGGAGAATGAGAATGATTGACATGATCCGGACAAAGCTACAAAACGAGCAAACGCATGTAAACGCATGTAAACGCGACTCACCCAACATAAGTAGAGTAAGATCGGATATAGCCAGACTGAATAAGTAGTAGTTGGTGGCCGTTTGCATCGAAGGATTTCTTATAATTACGATGCATGTCGTGACGTTTCCAAAAATACCAGTCACAAAAATTGTCACGTACGCTATCGTTAACGGTATTACCATCTTCAGAGGCAAATACTTAGGTCCAAGCACCTTGGCTAAATATTCGGCTTCTGTTAAATTCTCCAAGTCCCAATCCTTCCAAAAGTCATGGAGATAGTTTGTACCGTCGTCCGACGTTTCCATGATGAGTGATACAGTGGGAGAATTAAATTTTTCTTCCACTATGTATCAAATAAACTCTCCCGTGAAAGGAGTTCTGTCACGATCGTTGAACATTTAAAAGGAAAACTGCGTGTTCTTAAACAAAAGGTCAGAATACTTCGATACTTCTCACCTTTAATTTAATTTAAGAATACATTATGCGTGATCATAGAAATTATTATCATCGGTAAACAAAGCATCCTCTTGCGATAAACCGATGTCGAGTCAACAAACTACGATCGGTCGATCGTTAATAGGTCACGAGCTTAAGACATGTTGAAGAAAGTGTTTCACTTAGCGTAATGAGGAATCGTACATTTGTCATTACATTCATTTTATTTAAATTTAAATGGCAGGCTATTCAGTATTGTATTAACCGGGCTTGGCGTAAGTTTGCTCGACTGCTTTTCTGTTAATGATTCACCATGTATTTCCATTCTTATTCTTCCAGTTACAAATCATCTCGACATTGTTGAATCTTCTCACAAACGGGAATACACAATGCACCAACACCAAAGAAACGCGTTATTGTTTATAGTTATAATTAAATGGCTGGAAAAACAGTTTAGCACAATTACTTGCAATTTTTACTGGTATAATATAGTACGTTCATATTTCGATAGTGACGCTCGTGAAATATATTGTTACTGCAAGTGCGAATAGAGTAGAGAGAATTGGAAGGAAAAGTTGAAACGAAGCACGCGGTGACAAGCCAAAAGGAGATATCTGTTTTGTACGTATAACTTGCTGTCATTAACACAGATGATCAAAATAAATGGTCGAAATGAAGGGGAGGACGGTAAATCAGCCAATCGTCGCTGTCGAGAGCAGACTACCGTACAGTGTGACGGAACGTAATATTCTTAACGATATCGTTGGACACCTTTCGTCTCATCTCTTCTGATTTTGCGATAAGAGAATCGGTATAACGTTCCGTTCAGGTCTATTAAGATTTTCAATGGACTCGGTTATCGCATTTGAAACTGTATCTTGATATGCGCTACTTTTTATCTTCAATTATAATGTAAACGTAACTTTCATCAATAGTTTATAACATTTTATCGAGCTTGGTGGCAAATTCCGGTTCTTATGAGATAAGCACATTCTTAAAATTAAAGTCACAATGAGAATCAAAGAACAAGAAGGATATTGATGTATAAATGTGTTTGTTCAAAAATTCATAAGAAATGCATATTTATACTACCGTGATTCACTGCTCAGAAGAGAATTTTCGATTTACAATGCAGTGACCAAATACGAAGCATTCCGTGATTTATAGAGTTCACGGAAACATAAAAAGAGATCATTTTCGTGGTATTTGTATTTGAAATTCTAGAGGGATTAACACATTAGTTACGGCAGCAAACATGTTTTTTTGAAGATGATGAATTTT